TTTCTGGCATTAGTACAAACAACTCTTTATCAACTTATGATGAAGGCATGCAATATTTTGTAAAACTGTCACCTCACATAACCTAGAAGACAGACTAAGTGCCTGTAACCTATAGCTTCAAAACAGCAGGAATGTTCATGAGTGTCAGCTTCTTCTGGCTGCTTATGTCAAGAGAGAAATGAGTTAAAAAAGAACTGGCCAGTTTCCAAATATTGGTGAAAGGGCCTAGAGAAAAGACCAAAATTTTTGAGCCTTCATCAGAGAGTAAGAAATAAAAATGAGAACATTTTTTACTAACAAAGGCATTTTAAGATTTCTTTGCTCAGCAAATTGACTCAGCCCCACAGGTGAAGTTAAAATTGAGAGTCTTTCCTTTTCACCCAAGCCTTTTGTTTCAGATGGCCTGAAGGTAGCTGCCATGACCTTGAAAGAGAGGCATGGGCACTAGGAAGCAAATGATTATGTGGGTTGAAGATTTACATCTAGGAAAAAATGTAGGGTGTATCTACACAAAATTGACTTCAACAAATAGATCAGAAACCAACTCAGATTTTGAAGGTTGTTATGCTGGAAAAGAGACAAGAAAGAGGTCTGATATATAAAGGGCTTGAGAATATAAAATAACCCTTAGTATAATTGAAAACTGCAGGAAACGAACCCTCAGGGCTTCACAGCTTCAAGGAAGGCATCATCCGAACACTCCATTCAGCAGTGGCCATGACAGATCTTGGAAGAGGAAGAGTCTCCCAGAATATGGAGCCATGGAGAGCCAGGCAAGTAATGGACAAGAATTTGACCAAATTAAGAAAACAGACCACTGCCAAGGGATATGAGAGGATTGGTGGCCATGGGTACTCAGAATGTCCTCCCTGCTAGAGACTGCAAGACTTTCCTTTTCTAAAATGATATCTGATATAAGACCGACTTTTATTGGGATGAATCATTGATATTTCGGAGTTTACTTGTCATAGCAACTGCTTTTACCATAATGCTTGTATATATTTTTTTATCCCTAGCATTTAGCACACACTGTTATTGCTGTAGGTAATACTTCTCTGGACCTTTTTAAGATTCATACTCAATATGTAGCTTGATTAACCATTGATGCAACTGGTTTTGTACAATCTGGTTAAAATTCTGATTTATAGCAGGTAATAAATAGTTATCTTTATTTTAAGAGATGTCATTGAATTTTTTTTTGAATATTTGTTTTAAAAATTCCTGGTGAAAATAACTGGTCATGGTCTATGTGGTAGAAGAATTTGGGAACCTCGTCATTGTTTGTTCATGGGGACTTGGAAGAATTTATAAAGAAAGTTCTTTTTTTGCTTGCAGAAAATCTGACCATCTTCTTGGTAAAAATGGGATGGCCCTCCAGTTTAATGAGAGCCAAAATCATATGTCCTTACCATATGCACATTTAACTTTTAGAAAATATAGATTCTAAGTATTTGTGCCAGAGGACATATTCCTGAACTCTATTGTCTAACTTCCATCAAAACCCAAAAGATATGCTATAGTCATTCAAATAACATACAACTTATTCAAATTTTTTTTGAGTTAGTTTTATCCTTAGACTAGGGCAGAATATCAGAAAGCTATACAATTTCAGCCCTTTCCCCCCATCCACTGCCTGTGAAATTGTTTGTGATAAAGTCCATTTTTAGGTTACGCTTGACTTTCCTAATGATTCTTGTGAAAAATGTTGTTGTAGAAATGTTGTTGAAGACATGGTCTGCTTTCTTACTTGGGCTCACTATGTGACAAAGAGGATGAAGGGTCTCAACTATCATGGCATTTTTAAAAATATCTGAAGAAATAGAGCAATGTTTTGTAATGTTTGGGGGTGGCTACATATGTGTGCATTTATTTTATCTATACTTTTGCAAATGTTTGAACTACTTTATAGTAATAGTAACATTTCCACCACTACCACTCAATTTTTACTGGCCAGTGGTATCCACTTTGAAAGTTTTATGACCTTCTTTCCAGACATCTATTAGGTAGTGATGAGAGCCTGGGTAAACTCCTAAGTGTAATAGACCTAGGTTCAACCATGCTTTTGCTACTTCCTGCTTTCTACTGGCGAGTTTCACATCATGCTTTGTGAGGACTAAATGGAAGAATGTGTATAATGTGCTTAGTGGAGTGCCTGGAACAAGGTAAGCATCAATGTAAGTGAGCTTTTATCACAGTGTGAGATTGCCTAAGTGAACCATGCTATGGGCAGCTTTCTCTAGCAGTGAATATTATCCATGGTGTTAAAAAAGAAAAATAAGAATAGAGTGGGACAAGTTTTATCCTCATGGGTTGTGTACTTCTGGCCATGAAGAAGTTAAGGGCCAAATTTACCCATATGGGTGAGAACTATGACCTGGGTAATTATGATCTATTTTCCCCTTGTCTTGGAGACCTACTTTTTGTGACTTACTTTAATTTTCAATTTCATTTTATGTTCCCTTATAAACCTTAGATCCTTTGTGCAATGTGGTCGGGATAAAATGGAAGAAAGAAGAAAATCACCATGGACAGCAGGAAGAAAGGAGAGTAGAAAGAAAGGATTTATGATACAAGTTGTTGAAATTATTCATTGTGATGTTCAGCTTTTGGATGCATGCTAATCAGCATGAGTTTTCATCACATACAGTACTTTTTCAGGTGCTCTCTGCCTTCCGGGATTTGTTTTACATTTTGACTGGCATTAAGCCTTTAGCTATTATCCCTGGTGCAAATGTGAGTTTTCACAAATGATACCACTTGAGGGTTGTCACGGGTTCTGGTTCATGCTGGTGTCTGACAATTCCTGGAATCAGTTCTTCATTATCTATGTGGAGACGAGGAATGTTGTTTTTTGGAAGCAAATGTTTTACCCAAGGTCAATTTCTCTCAAGTGCTCAGCACCAGGGCATGTGCTCAGGAAATGCAAATTATCTTAATGTTAGCTTTGGTCAAACCCTGCTAGGGAAGTAAATCTGCTTTTAAAAACACCATAAACACAGATAAACAGCATCTAAATTATAGGATGTCTGAGTATATATAAAATTTCACCTTAATTCCAAAGACATTATTCTATAGTACTTTAAAACTCACCTTTGAATTAGTCTTTGGTTCCTGGCAACCAAATAATCCTGAGCAATGGGAACAGACTCTTCCCTGGGTTCTCGGCTGTCTCTGTATAACCCACTATCTGAATTTCCCTGGCTTTTCAAGCTCTAAAACTCCAGGTTCTGAAAATAGTCCTTCCCACTCTAATTCACTGTGGCAAACTGCCGCTCTGATTAAGTTGATATTTGTTCTTAAAAAGTTGCTGGTTAGCCAAGCCAGCGTGACTCAGTGGTTGAGCATTGACCTAAAAATCAAGAGGTCACAGTTTAATTCCTGGTCAGGGCACATGCCCGGTTATGGGCTTGATCCCCAGTGTGTGGACTTAATGGAATGTACCAGAAGGAAGTCCTTCTTAACCTACCCTATCTCCAAGCTCTCATTTTGGAAAATATATCCAGAAGTATAATTATTTAGTCTATCCCTCTACTCTTTGCTCCCACTCACCCCATCCTCATCTTTGCCTGTGGTTCTGCAACCCACAGTGCTCGGTCTTAATAGACGGGTGTTTTCTTGGAGAGAGTGAGGGTTAGCCTTGCATGAATCTACAGCTGTTGCAGGTCTCCTCTGTTATACTGTCTTTAGAGCCAATTATTGAGCTCTTTTTATCTTTTAATATTATTTTGCAATTGTAAAATGGCAAGATAAGTCACTTACTTTAAAATAAATGAGATGGCATTGTTTAAAACAAGAGAATGGTTCCAATGAAAAGCCAATAAACACATGTTGATAAAGTGCTATAAAACAGGAGTCATGGACACAGATGGGTTGGTTTACTTAGTAAATAATTTGCAGGACCTACTATGTGCCAGGCACTTCGCTAGGCACAGAGACTCTGCTGTCACTGTGAAGTCACCTTATTTCCACTATGTTTGGCTACACAATAAGCTGTAACTTCCCGTTGTTATTCTTTTTCTAAGAAAGGCCTATCCTTAAAATACCCGCTAGCATTGATGGCTATAGGCCAAGCATAAACTCCCTATCAAGTTATGAATTTGACATCCACCTGTGCTCAGAAAGAGACAGGGCTGCACCTTTTCTTACAACCTGCACTTCCCTCAGCAAGGAGCCAAATCTGAACGAGGTCTGAGAGGCAGCTGAACCCCTGCCAAATGACACTCCACTCCACTGACAGAACAGCATCCCCGCAGTTCTTCCTGCCGACAGGTATCTTTTCTGAACTCCTGGAGAAGGCAGTGACAGTTCCTATCCTTGATCTTTTGGCTTGGTTCCCAGGGAGACCTCCTCATGCTATGTTTTATTCATGGTGCCTCCCAGGCTGGTTTCTTTATTGTAAAAATTGGTGGTAGGAGTAGGCATAATACAATGAACCTGACATAAAATTCAAGCATCATGAAAAAACCATCCCTTTGTGTGCTAAGAGTCTACAAGCAGGGTCTGAGATTCCGTGGAAGGTTTGTGTTCTGAAGATTTTTAAGACAAAGTATCCACAGAGACCAAAAAAAAAGAAAATACAATTATGCATATCATGTCGGAAGAGTGAAAGAAATAGGTCAGATAAACCAAGGTAGCTTTTGCTGGGAAATGTTAAGCCTCAGACATCTGAGCACATGGAGGAAAAAGATGGTGCCGTGGATAAAAACAGTAGGTTGATGGCTGTGTGGACCATAGGAGAAAAGCTACGAGAATATACAGAGTCAACATTTATTCTAGCTTCTCCCTATGAAATTTCATTTCCATCAACTTCATCATTGTCTTTGCTAGAAGAACTATGCATCTTTCTACTTCACTAATTAGGAATTTGTAGGAGAAAGTATGAGCATGCATTTCTTCCATCTGTCCCACCTCCCAAACAAAACCAAGTAAAACCAATGGCCAAGTATTATAGAGGTTATCATACTATATCATACACAATTGATATGCACACATATGTGTACCTTGAGCAGTATGGTCTTCTCATGACGGGTGATGTTAACACTGTGGGGTTGTCCATTAGCCACATTCCTGTGGTCTACATCAATATTATACGGCTCTCTGGTGCCACCCAGGTTGTAGCGAATCTGAAGATTTCCTATATAAGGAAAAGGGGGGAAAAACTCAGTAATTTTTTTCCAGGTTTCACACTTAGGTTTGCATTGAACCCTGCTCCCTCCTTTGATGTCCATCAATTACATCTGCCATTCTGAATTCTGAGTCACTAGCTCTGAGGCACACTCATCCATGAGGGTTAACAGCACCTGGCACTCACGTGTTTACAATCTACAAACAGTGAGCCATCAGTGACCATGATCTCAAAGTTTGAGCAGCAAAAGGTATAAAATGATCCAAGGTAGGAAAGTGCCTGGGAAAAAAGAATGAAAATATACATATAGGAATGTGGAGGCTCCACAAAATACACTGAAGAAAAAAAAAAATGCAGGACATAGGGACAGTCTCACAGCATTGGCAAAGCATGCCATTTGCTGTATGAAAGAATCATGAGCATATAATATTAAAAACAAACCTAACTTATAAAAGGTAAACATATGGCATTTGGGGTGGCTTTGCTGACACCAAGGGAGCAAAGAGATTACTTTTATTTGAGGTTAGAGATTGCTCAATCCAAATGCAAAACAAAGGAAATGATGGGCTTCCCAGGCCCTGAGTCCTGGTTGCCTCTGTGAAAGCTCACTTTGACTGGATGTATTACTCTTTGTTCCATCCTTCTTGTTTCTTCCCAATAATGACAAATGATATTCAAGAAGATACATGTAATATTGTAGATCCTGTTTTTAATTAATCTGCATGGCAAACGTAACTTTATTGTCTTATTTATGATTTTTAAAGACCAATGTTTTTACCTAATTTTTCACTCAAATTGGAATCTTCATTTCAATAGCTAACATTTCCAAGGTTAAAAAAGGGAGTCTGACCAATTGCAAATCACCTCATGGATTCCTTGTGGCCTCTTTCATGCACCTTCTATAGGAACAAAACTGATATTCTGATTTTTAAGTTGTGAAATAAAACATAATAATTAAAATTTAGTGCACAGAAATAAAAAAGATAGTCAATGGAAACCTCACCAACCCAAGGTAACTACTCTAACTCTCTGGCCAAATCACCTTCCAGATATTCCTCATGCACTTATATATACACAAATAAATGCAATAGTTCCTAAATGCTGCCTTTCCTCATCTAGGCACCCCAGCATTATAAGTGCTACTTAAAATATTCTGCCAAGTTCCCAGAGTTGAAAGAAACATTCATTAGGATGATCAAGAATGAATTGCATTTTCTATTTTTGCACTTGAAGTAAATTCAACAAACCTCCGCTAGTTCTGATTTTTACCTTAATATTTATTCTAGATCCCTTTACTCACAGCATTTCAATTAAACATTGTTGTTTTCATCTCTGAAATGTTTCTAAATTGCCCCATTCTTCTCCATCTCTGTACCCACAGGAGCTCCATGGTGCTTAGAACGCCTTGTGTGAAACGCACAAAAACAACTCCCTTGCTATCTCAGCTCCATCAGAGCCCCTTGCCTCTGGCCCCTGGTTGGCCACTCCATATCAGTGACTGTCTTGACCTCACATCTTTGTTGGCCACTCCATATCAGTGACTGTCTTGACCTCACCTCACTTTCTGGTGAGACTCCTGTTTCTCTGCTCTTCCCATTCTCTTATCAACACCTCAAACCCAACAGATGCAAAAACAGACTCTTAATCTTACCGTGCCCCCCTCCCCCATATTCCACTGCAGTTTTCACATTTTCTTTCATCCCTTCAGCTACTCCTGCCAAAAGATCCACTATCTTGACTCCCCTCTTCCTTCTAGAATACACGTATAGTCTGTCAACAAATCTTCTTGGCTCTTCAAAATATACCTCAAATCTTTTTGCTTTTTATCATCACCATTACTACCCCTAGACCAAGCCACCATCATCTTAGGCCTGAGTTACTGTACTAGCCTCAAAGCTAACCTCTTGCTTCTGCCCTACCCTCACCTCCCCCACCCTGTTCTCTGCCCCTCACAGACCCACATCCTCTCCACCTGATACTTCAAATGATCCCCTGCTCAGAACCTTCTAATGCCTTCCACCTATCTCACTTGTAGTAAAAATGGAACTCTTCATGGGCTCTCTAGGCCCTATATGATCTTCCACTATCACCTCTGACATAATCTCTTATTATTCCCCTCCTTGCTCACTGTAGCCTCCTTGCTGTTTCTCCAGAAGCCAGCATGTTCCTTCCTCAGGACCTTTGTACTTACTAATTCTTCCATCTAGGATGCTTATACCCCAGTTATCTGTCTGGCTGACTCCTCACTCCCTTTAGGTCTTTGCTCAAATATCATCTTCTTAGTGATTATTTTGGTGGCTTTTTCATTAAAAGCAGAATTTACCCATTCCTTTCTGTTGTCCAGGCCCTCCCTTTTCTGCTTTATTTTCCCCCCTATTATAGTTCTTATTATACATTGTACTACATATTGTCTTTATTTTATTATCTGTGTCTTTCCACTTAAATGTGTTTCATGAGAGCAAGGACTTTTGTATATATCATTTATGATATTATTCCAATGTAGAGTATAATGTCTGATACTTGGTAGGTGTGAATAAATATTTGTTGAATGAATGAATGATGATCTCCCTGCTTCTGTGCTTTTTTTCTTTCCCACATTTTCTTTGCAGACAGGTCTTTTCAAAATGCATAACTGATTATTTCAATGCCTTACTTAACATTTTTCAAAGTCTTCCAGTTGCTCATAAGATGAAGACATACATTCTTATTGTACCTTATAATGCCTTGTTTGGTCTGAGTTCTGCCTGTTACTTTATTTTCAAATCATACCATTTACCTTCTCTCTTTTCACGTTTGTTACCTTCAACTTCTCGTATGCCCTAGAAATTAAATTCTCCTTCCTATCTCAGGATCTTGGAATATGCTGCTGCCTTTTCCTGAGTTGCTTATCTTCCCCCTTCTTCAAGGTTTTACCCATTTTCTCTTTATCCTAACAGCACTAAAAATAATATATAGTTTCAGAGTGAAGGAGATGATCAGGTGGTTATTTGAACATGCAGAAAGTTGACTGTCTTGACTCCCTTTTCCTTCCGGTGTTCTAACCTTGTATAATCTCAACCAACTTTCTTAAACACGTAGCTGTATTCATTCATCATTTATTTATTTGTTTCTTCAGAATACATTAGTGATTGTGCAAAGCACTGTTGAATCCAATTTTCAGAGTCTGAAAGTAGGCTATCTGTTTTTCTGTAGGTGTAGAGTCACTTCTCATACAACCAGCCCCAGTTCCCCAGTGTGGACCAGTCACTTCTCATACAACCAGCCCCAGTTCCCCAGTGTGCCTGGGTCTGGGAAGACAGAGAGAAGTAAAGGAAGGCTCTACCTTTGATGGCCAGAGGTCAGAGGTACTGGTAATTATGCAAAAAAGTGAACATTCTCCTCTCTATTGTCTCTGTTGTTGGTCCCTTTAAGTTCCCCAATTTCATTCAAATCAGTATTCAGTTGTGGGTTTTTAAAAATATTTCTCTCTTTTCTTGCTTTCTTGAACTTTGTAAACATGATTTAAGATGTCTATAACTGTTTCCCTCAATGGCAACAGAAATTATTTGCTTTGAGAAAAAAGATGAGCTGGATCTTTAAATTATATATAATAAATATCTATAAACCATAATAGCAATATGCTTGAATAATAAATTCAAATGCTATATTGATTGCTTTCAAATGATAGCACAAGAGAAGTACAACATGATGATAGGGAGAAATATTAATATTTGTTCATTAAAATAAAATATTCATCTCCTGAGGGCATGAAAGCAGCCTTAAGGAACTGCTCCTGTACTGACTGCCGCCACTCATGTGCTTTCCAGATTTACTCTCTCCTGGTCACCGCCACTGTCATTGTAAACACTCACCTATTGGCAACTAGTGTGGGCTCAGGCCTCTCATCTCACTGGGAAGACAGGCAGTACTTATAACAAAGGCAGATAACAACACAGGGCACTAAATGCCAAGCAGATGACATTTAAAATAAGTGTAACAGGAGTTTAAAGTAAGGAGTCATCATTGAAAGGAAACAATACTTAACCTGGGTCTACATTGAAATACCAGGAGGAACACTTTGTAAAGTATGTGATTGTCTAACCACCAAGCTGTATACTGAAACAGATACAAACTGATACTGAATGTGAACTGTAATTGGAAAAAAAAAAGAGAGGAGAAAAGAAAGAAAGAAAGAAAGAAAGAAAGAAAGAAAGAAAGAAAGGAAGAAAGAAAGAAAGGAAGAAAGAAAGAAAGAAAAAAAAGAAAGGCATGTCTTAGATCAGAGAAGAAAATGGGACTTTTCCATGAAAGGGAATGTAATGGGTAGGGAAACAGATGTCCACAGAGCCCTTGGGGTAGAACAAATTCCTTTGTCATTGAATGTGTGACAAGACAGGGGATGTGGATCATAATAACCTCTAACATTTACATGTAATAAGTGTTTTACACATAGATTTTCCACAACATCCTATGCGGCAGACAGTGTTTTACAGATAGAAACTTACATCTCACTACCCACAAATGTAGATGCAGAATTCAAACCCTGGCATTTTGGTTCCACACTTGGAGCTCTTCCCCACGAGGCAGGTGGTGGGACTCGGTTGGAAGGTTGCAGGATTTTGGATTTCTCCTGTGGTCCTCGGGGGAGAAGAAGGCACTACTCCTTCTATGATAGGGACACTGTGCATAAAAGAAGACCCACTCTGGCTGTGGTGGGTGTTAAGGTGCAAGGGACTGGAAGAAGAGAGCTTGATTGGGACATAGCACCCTGGTGGACATACGGAGGGGCCCTGCTGTCCCATGAAGGAGTAACGGGTCCCCAGGACCCCTATGGGAGGTGAGGGCTGCTAAAGACGCTGGGGGTGGCCTCCCAAAGACAAACTCCACAGGACTGTTTTGCCTGATGGCCCACAGATGGGAAAGGGTGGAATGTGCATGGATGATACCAAGCTTGTGAGTCTGGGTGTCTGAGTCAGAGCACTGTCAGAACTGGGGGAGGACCTGCCTCTGGGGAACAGTGAAGACATTTAGATAAGACATTCTAGGTTTTTATTTTTTATTTTGGCAGAATCCTTATTGATTTTTCCCCCCTTAAATGACTTCCTCAACTTTTTTTTTGCTCTATATATCAGTTAATAAAAAAAAAATGTCAGTATTTGAAGTATAAAAAAGCTACATTTTCATCAGCAGTCTGAAGATGGCCTTGTGATAATTTGATAGAAGCCGGCTGGCTATGTTTTGAAAATGCACCAAGAGGGTCCTGAGGTCTCTGCAGCATGGAGAGGGCAGCTCAGAGCTCTGGGCCTGGAACCCAGGGCCTAGGAACCTGGGTTTGCCATCACCCACTGTGTGCGCAAGTCACTAAACCTATGTACCCCAGGTCACCTGTAGAAAGGTGATAGAATAGTGTCTATGGCACGAAGATATGTATTCACAGGAATAGATACATATGAAACACTTAGCATGCTTTGGGCATAATTCCATGGTAGTCACTGATATTAAATCAATTTACTATTAAATGAAAACTCTTGCCAGCAACTGATATTAAGTGAAAATCCTTGCCTGTGACAAATGCCCACAAACACCAGCATGCATAGCATACTCTCAGGGTGGGTGTTGGCTATTAAGTTACTGAATACAGTTGGGGACCACATTTTTGTATGGCCATGTCTTGAGGAGCAGACAGCACAGCATCTACTGGGTTGTGTACATTAAATTCTTGACAAGCTAAATGTGAGGACCATCGTCCCTGCCCAACGAGGTTGGACAACATCATTGGATTACAAATCTATTTAGCCAGATCCAGGAGATGTAAACTCTTGAAAAGCAGGGGCTATGTACCTTTACCTCCTGCTTCCTCACTGATTTTATGTATTATTTTTGCCATTTAGAACAGTGATCCTTGCTCAGTGTGGGCACTGACATGTGTAGAAGAGTGTTACTAAGGAGCAGCAAACCAACATCCAAACAGACAACTGATGTTCACGTTGTTGCTTTCCTGGCTATCCATACATTTTTCACAAAGTCAGACTGACATTAGACAGTCAAAACTGTATCTTGCCTCTTTTTTTTGGTTTAACATGATACCACTAAAATATTTTTCTCCATGCCATTAATTACTCCTCATGAATTGTATTCTTAATGGATATATAACATTGCATAAAATTGTGATTCACTCTTTCACAAACCAAAATTTTACTCAAGTTAAACTTCTCAGTCCTTTCTATAAGTAACACCATGATGGACACCTCATGCTAAATTTCTATCTAATTTTTGGCTAATCACTTTAGGAATAATTTCTAAAAGGGAAAATCCTAGCATTTGTTTACCCATCTTTTAAACTTACAGTGTATTATCCAAAGAACAAGTTGAAGAATTTGCTATTTTTTAAAACTCGAGCTGAATTATGATAGTAATAATTCTCGGTTCCCTTGGAAGAAGCCCTTGATCTTTCAGATGTTACAACCTGCAGTCACCATCAAAGAAGGCTGCAGAGCCTAACCACTGAAGAGCAAGATGATGAGAGAGGATCTCCACAGCGCCAGTTACACAAGCTCTCTGGGAAATGAGTTAGAGATTTGCTCTTTGATACACCGCATTAGTAAAAAAAAAAAAAAAAAAAAAAAAAAGTGATCTTAAATCTGTAGGTGTCTTAGATCTCAAGTTTATACGCATTAGGAAGGTTTACACTTCTAAGTCAGGCCACAAGGCCATGCTCACATTACCACCAGGATACCTGTCTTAGCCACCTGCCTGACCCTCTCTGGTTCATATTACAAGAGTATAATAAATATACCCCTGTTTTAAGTGACCTTGATGTTAGGGATATTTTATGAATGTAAAATTCTGAGACTGGTTAGGAATGCAAATTTCTCTGATTCTCTATTTCTACTAAATATCCGTATGTTCTGTAGGAACCTATTGATCATTATCATAATCAGGATAACTCATTGATTTATATAAAATTAATTTTACTGCTTTAAAGCTCATCTCTACTTAGTTCAAAGGCTAGCTATCTTTGTCCTTACCAGTGGGTTTGACGAGGACTGCCAAGAAGTCAGTGGTGAGAGAACTGACGTAGAGGAGAATGCAGGGCGCCTTGGAGGTACTGAAGCTGAACCGAATCTGCTCCTGGGCCAGGTCTGGCAGTGGGCCCTGTGGATCGGGTGAACTCTCCGATCTGCTGCCCAGTTCTTTGCTGTTGATCACGGGTGCCTGGAAGTTATACCGTAGCCACATCCCCTCTTCAAAAAATGCACCAACATCTGTTGAAAAAGAAAAGGAAAGAAGAAATTGAAAAAAATGAGAAGTTGGATGCAGGTATCATCAACAATTTAAACTCTGGTCAATGGTTAGTTCTGGAGTGGCCACTAAGGCAGTTCACCAAGGACACACTCTGACTATAGGAAGGGGATCAGACTGGGTGCACTTCTAGGCAGATGGATGTCATTTCATCAACCCAAATCCACAAAAAAAAAAAAAAAAAAAAAAGAATCATGCAACAATGTAGAGATCTGTAAATTTAAAATTTAAAATATATTAATAAAATTAAAAAATGTAAATCATACCAGAAAGAAACTTCAAGTTTAGTACTCAGACCCGATAACTAATTTAGATTGAAGAGATACACTGAAATGAAGGCGGCGATGTAACACGAATCACTAATTCAAGGCACTCGCAGGCATGGTCTTTGAGGTGGTTTCACTTTGGACATTCACTCACTCTGAGAGCCCCTGAGCAAACCATAAGTCCTGGGAGCTTTGTGGAGAGTGTTTCAAATCACAAGACATGAGGTTGGAACTGGGTTCAAATTTGGCACTGCCATTAAATACAGTTAAGCGGCCTTAGGGGAAGCTACTTTACCAACTTCTCTAGGACTCAGTACTTTATCTGTGAAAGGGATATTATAATAGTAAAAATTACAAAAGATACTTAATTTGCACATAATAAATTGTACGTATTGTTATGACGAAACCAGAAGAAAGGCCACTAACCCTTTATCAGTCTTTTCCCGTAGCCTAATCAGTGCTAACTGGCTTTTAATCATTTCCTGGCAGATCAGCTCCTGCTGTAGTTTTTCCCACTGTTTGCTTCCGAATGTTCTGAAATCACCTCTGGACTCACTGTGAAACACTGAGGCACCCTTCTGAGGTTTGTTTGGTTTTCGGAGTTACTGTTTCATTGCCCTGTACTCATGCCCTTCTGAAAGGGTTTCTCAAACTTCTTTGCCCATGGAACCCATTATTCTCATCCCACTAAATTAATACTACACAGAATATATTTTGTGAAACGCAATCTACATTATAATCAATAGGAGGGACACACTTGCAAAGGGTTCTTTCACCCTGGAATTTTGAAGTTTCCTCTTGCTAAATAGTCGAGCAGAGCCAACACGGCATGGTGACTCAGGGTCTGGAGTCAGACCCTGTGGGTGAATCTTGGCCTTGATGCGAACCCAAAGTGCTAACCTGGTCCATGGCTTGAAACCCTCTAAGCCTCAGTTTCCTTCCATGAAAAAGGGGGCCACACAGGTTGTTGTGAGAATTAAATTAACAAAGTATAACACTTAACCCACTGTGTGGGATATGTGATAAACATTCAATAAAGATTAGTTAGTTATATTACAAAGACATGTTACTGTGTTTTATTGAGGGTACAGATGCCACTCTGTACCCCACCTGACACTACCACGCACATGCAATCCTCCTGTAAGTCACCTGGCACTGTTGCAGAGACTACTATGTTCTGCTTTTCACTGAGTTGTCGCAAAAAGAGTTCAGTAGGCTACAGGCTCTCAACTATGGGGAATACTATTTTCCTCCTGAGCCCCCTGCCCCTATCCCAAGAACATTTACAAACGTGTGTGCATGTGCAGGTGTGCGTGTATTCACATGTGTATGTGCATGGGTATGCATTCACATGGTTGTGTGTGCATGTGTATGTATTAGTATGCGTTTATGGGAGGGTGTTTTTAAATGATGGGGGGTTCCACTGGCATTTAGTGGGCAGGGGCAGGACTGCCAATGCCCTCTAATTTGTGGGACTGTCTTGTACAATTAAGAATTGTCTTGCTCAAAAATGCCAGTGTCCTTGTTGGCAAACACAGGATTAAACATACACTTAACCCAAACTAGTCACTGCATGACTCACTGGATTGTAAAGATGCATGAAATGCATCACCACCCTTGGGGAAAGCTCCTAACTGCGGGTGTGGAGGAGATGCATCAACAACCTGAACAGATGGGGAATGTGTTCCGAGTGTAGGGGGAGTGTTCTGTGGTTTTCCTGGCAGGCTATGTGATATGGGCCCTATCTTGCTATCTTGCCACTTAGAAGATCCTGAGCTCTCAAGGAACTCTCAGCAGCAGTTGCCAACCATTTGGACCTCATGGACCACCAGTGGTCTGTGGACCACCAGTTGGTGACTGCTGGTCTAGAGGATGCTTTAACTAGCAGACATTGTTAGAAGGCAGTGTGGTGAGTACAGGATCAGAGTGTACAATGGGGAACCTGCAACACCAGGGCAGTAGCCTGGCCTCCAGGGCCCTCGGAAGACTTCCTGGGAGAAAAGACATTGGAGCCAGGACCCAAAGAGCCAGAGTCCGTCACTAAGTAAAGGTGAAGAAGAGGAGGGGGCCAACCACAGGGAAATAGTATGCATTTCTCAGATAAACTGGAGATGAGCAAGACTGATCATGAAGGGACATTCAGAAAGCTAAGGATTTTAGAAAATAAACCAAAAATATGCCACAGAGAATACTGTCAGTGGATTTTATAGTCATCGTTAACAAGCTTTATGGATTCATGACAGTTTTGGAAGATGGGTTATTCCATGCTTAGGAGCGTTATTCTGAAACCGCATCATAAAGCAACTATTAAACCAGGACCGGGGAGTGCTGTGAAACATTTAAGGTTTTAAGCGACAGAGTTACAGCTATAATTTCTTTGTTCCATATTATTTTCAGGAAATGCCAAATCAGGGTACTGCAATATCTTTCAGGAAAATAGTGTCCCCAACACTTCCATATGAATAACTAAAATAACACTGATTTATCAATCCCCAAATAACATCTTTCCCCCCATTAAATGATCAAAAAGTATTCATTTAGAGTAGTTGATTTGAGGTATTTATACTAATATTAGATAGCTTAAATTTTGTGATATTCATTTTTTGATAGAAACTGATACATTTTGGTTCTAGTTATTCTAAGATGTATGATGACTATATTCCAAGATGTGTTACAAAAAGTATTATTGAATTATATAATGTTTCTTAAAAATTTGAAATACATATGCCATCTTAATGGGGACATGAAGGTGATAGGAACCTTGAAGACGACAAGTAATCTCATCTTAACATTTCTTGGTCCTCAAAACGGATCCTATGTAAACTACTCCTGATCGGAGAAGATAAGTTTGGAAATGTTCAAAATAAAATCCACAAGCAATACATCCCAGAATAGCACCATAAAGACATTTCCCCCTTGTCGACCCAAATCCCTTATGTTTATGGTAGAAAAAACAAACACCTAGCTGGCACTCAACCCTGTGACTAAATTGCTCCTCATCTCTTTTTCCTCTAAGTTCAATAATTCTATTCCTTTTGCCTTTTCACTTAGGATTTCTCTTGCAACTTGTATTTTTTAAATCAACATGATTCTTTTTGTTCTCTAACCTCCCCACAAGGACCCAGAATTGAAAGCTCCCAACTCACAAATGTGCTATTTTCTAAAAGTTTATTTTAAAGTCAGTAACTTGCAATTTGGAAATAGTTCCCCATAGAAACAATACTTTAAATGATGGTTAACTTTGCCAGGAGAGTCTACAAATGCTGAATCACTCTGGATGGGTAATAAAAGATAATTGAAGAGTGCCATTGTGTATTAGTAATTAAAATAGAGATAGCAACCACAACAAAAAGGTTAGGGTTTATTATGAATACAAGAACTCCATGGACCTCTGTTCCCACAAAGATTTCATCTCATGTATCCAATGGTACACTGGTTAATGTTAAACAGCTGGCTCTCCAGTGAGAAAAACCTTGATTTTTTTTGTGTTTGCCTGTTCGGATGGTGTGAACACTCATACTTTGGCTTATTTCAAGCTGCTGACATGATATCACTAAATATGGAGCGGAGAAGTGATGTTCACAATTGTTCTCCAAGCCTGTGAAATGCCTCCTACATATACTTTTCCTCTACTCCCCCAGCCTGTGACCCAATCATTCATACAACCATATGTACTGAGCCCCCCTCATGGTGGCTGTCTTAGCTTGGGCTGCTATAACTAAGTACCATAACTGAGTGGCTTAAACAATAGAAATGTATTCTCACAGTTCTGTTGTCTATAAGTTCAAGATCAAGGTGGCAACTGATTTTATCCCTGGTGAGGTCTTTTTCCCTGCCTTGCAGACAGCTGCCTTCTTGGTGTGTGTGTGTGTGTGTGTGTGTGTGTGTGTGTGTGTGTGAGAGAGAGAGAGAGAGAGAGAGACACAGAGAGAGAGAGACAGAGAGAGAGAGAGACAGAGAGAGAGAGAGACAGAGAGAGAGAGAGACAGAGAGAGAGACAGAGAGAGAGAGAGAGAGGGGATGTGTGTGGATCGCGTGAACTCTTTCCTGTCTCTTCTAATCAGGGCACTAATCTCATCAGGAAAGCCCCATCATCATGACTTTCTATAAACCTAATTACCTTCCAAAACCTCATCTCTAAATACCATCACATTGGGGTTTGTTGCATCAGCATATGAATTTGGGGGAAGACATAAGCATTCAGTCCATAATAAAACTTCTTTCTTTGTATTTTCTACTGTACACAAATGCTGTAGAATTTGCTTACTCCTTCCTGCCTTCCAAAGCTCTCCTCTACCTCATTCCAGATACCCCACATCCTAAGAGCTCTGCACAGCTTCCATAACAACTATAACAGCTGGGTAATTGACACTGAGGAAGCACAGGGTCATTACATTCGTTTATGGCTGAATTCCATTGCCCAGAATAATCACTCTCATTAACTGCTCTTCAATTTATCATCTAGTAAAAAAGTGAGTGAGTTCTATAGAGTTGTGTTCCTAGTGATGCTGGGTATCACCTCCTTGTAGGCAGCCCCATTCTGCATCAGGCCCAGCTCCTTCCAGGGCCATCTGCAAGGCCCAGCTCGGTTTAAACGTGTTTCCCACTGTACTCCCAAGGCTCTGCAGTCCTGAAATACAAAGTTTCAATCCTGGCTTTACACTGGCAAAATCTGCTTTTATCCCCAGTGCTCCATG